TGGGCCTGATAAAACCTTTATCTAATAATTCTTCCAATTGTTGTTTCAGTTCTTTAAGTTCTGCAGGAGCCATTCTGTAAGGTGCCTTAGAAATTGGTGCTACCCCTGGCAATAATTCAATGGAGAATTCAATTTCCCTATCAGGCGGTAATCCTGGCAATTCTTCAGAAAAAAAGTCGGGAAATTCTCGGATAACCGGAGTGGTATCCAAATTTATTTCTTCCTTCCTATCTTCTTTGATATAGGCAAGAAAGCCTTGACACCCTTTTCGAAGGAGGCGATTAGCTCGAATACAAGAGATTAAATATGATGGGGAGTCTTCTTTGACACCATTGAAGTAAAATACTGGTTGATTCGGAATACTAAAGGTAACAATTTTCTTATAACAATCAATACTTGCATGGTATGCAGAGAGCCAATCCATGCCTAAGATTACATCAAAATCTTGAATTTCCAGGAGTATTAAATCAACCAACAGTTCCTTTTCTTCTATCTTTATTACACATGATTTGTACATTATATTGGTGTTAATTGAATCTCCCATCGGTGTGGCTACCTCTAGAATGTATTCTAATTGTTCTGGTTCTACCTATAAGTGGCATGCAAAGTGTTGTGACACAAATGAATGAGTAGATCCAGGATCAATCAAAACATGAGCTACTTTTTGGAAGATAGTAAGAGTACCTTGGATCATTGATTTTGAGGCCTGAGCGTCTTGCTCGGTAATCACAAATACTCTTCCCTTCATCTGAGGCTTCGGAGCTATCTCTCCCTGCTTTGGAAGCTGTTGTGTCTGTAAGTTAGGACATTGTTTAATCTGGTGTCCCAATTTTTCACATTTAAAACAGGCTCCGGTATTCCAATAACAAGGGCTTGATCCATGATTTTTCCCATATTTTCTACATGGTTCTATTGGGTTTTGAAATGACGAGGGCCTTGGCTTCTTGTTTGGCCTTTCAAACTGTTGTCGATTAGATGATGTAGGTCTAACATGACTGTTCTGATTTTTCGTCTTTTGGTAATCTTCAAAATCTTTTTCGACAATTTGGGCACGACCCACTATTTCAGCATAAGTTCTTAATTTCAAGACTGATATTCTGCTTCTAATAGCTGGCCTGAGACCCCTTTCAAATTTCTTCACCTTTCTTGCCTCATTATTAATCATATGTGGTGCAAACCTAGCCAATTCAGTAAACTTGGCCTCGTACTGTGCTACTGTCTTATTTCCTTGGATTAATTCTAAAAATTCCATTTCTTTTTGGTCTCGAATAAAATCTGGGAAATATTTTTCATTAAATGGCTCTCGAAATACTTCCCAAGTCAAGGTTTTATTTTCTTTGACCAATACTCCTTTTGCCATTCGCCACCAGTGTTGTGCCTCACCTTCTAACATAAAAACTGCCAAGGCCACCTTCCTATCATCAGGACATTCCATAACCTCGAATATTTTTTCCAGTTACATAATCCATCCCTCGGCTTCCAGTGGGTTTACAGCACCCTTAAAAGAAGGTGGGTTTAATTTCTTAAATTGTTCGATATTGCTCCCACCATTTCCTGTAACTGACTGCCTGGGTGAATTGTTGTTTTCCATCTGATGTTGCATTAGAGCAACCATATTTTCCAAAGCTTTGTGAATTCCTTCCATATTGGCTTCAGCTATTCTGGATCCTGACTTTATCCCGGTCTGTACACACAATAAATGTGATTTTAAGTAAATTCTTTTTAAATTT